ACATCATAAAATAGGATATGATCCAGCTATTCAAGGAAAGAATGAGCCAGGTCACTAGGGACTGATGGGAAACACCTCCAAAGTGCATTAAGGATTAAAAGCAAGCTGTATATGTATATAGCTACTTCTAAATATTTGATTTTGAAATCCAAAGGGGATGCGAAAGACACTTAAAAGTGGTTGCCTCTGAGAAACAGACTAAGTGTCCAAAGAATGTAACTTTTTTGGTTTTCTCTAAAGTCTTCTGTGCTGTTGGGATTATGTTTACTACTAGTATTTATTATTTTGTAAAAACAACAAAGACTACATGGGGTATTTTCCACATGGTCTAGGAGGATCTGCATGCTCCCTGTAGAAGTAAGTGGGAAAGCCAATGTCTCTCCTCCTTTACAGGGAGAACACCAGGCCTACCAGCCAGTGAGAAGGCGAGCCTCCCCTCCCCACCACCTCCCCCCACTGCCCAGGGGACGGCAGGTCACTAAGACCCCATCCTCAGTAAGCCCTCCTCCTCTGCGGAGTCATGTTCACAAGTGAAGAGAAATCTTAATTTCAATGTTTCCAGTTATAGAACTAGATCATTCATCTCTGAAAACCGAGATTGAAAGAGATGCAGAGAAATTCCATTATAAATGATCCAAAGAAAACTAAATGTTTCCCGAGTGCTACTTATCATGTAATTATATTACCAAAGGAAAAATCCTTTCCAATTTAAAGTACAGGACCTGCCAGTCTTCTGAATTCCGTAAGAACCAGAAAGACCATGTAGCACTCCAAGGGGCTTCCTTTCTCACTTTACAATCTTGTTTTGGCAAATCTAAAAGAATTCTAAACAACTCATTTTTATAATAAAGTTACTGCCATGAGAAAAAATGGTAGGGAGATAAAGTTGAAGAGAGTAAATGAACACTGTATTTGAACTTTCTTAAAGACTTTCATTTATATTTATTCTGTCAAAAAAAAAAAAAAAATATCTCCAGCCCTACTGCAGGGTGAGGACAAAGAAATGGCTCCAGAAATCATGCCTCTGCTCTTAACCTTGAGGCATGAGGAGGCAGAAAGTTGTTCATTTGGTATCACAACAAGTTTCCAATTGAATAAATCACAACCCTTATAGTCATTTGGACTTGTCAAAAGATGGTGATTGCATAAGCATGTATTACAGTTTGTTTATTTATATATTCACTTTATTCCTGCATTTCTTTTTTCCTCTCTGGATTTGCTGATTGATGCAGAACGCAAAGCCAAATAGGCATTTGAAAAAGTCCAATATCTCCTGAGCTAGAGACCTTCCCCATTCTGTTGGATTCTATATAAGCATTGCTGACAAATTAAAAAAAATGAGGGTAATTTCATTTTTGGTTGTGAGGAGTGAAAGTAATTAGTGAAATGAACTATATAGGTAGCCCATGCATTGAGCTGTCTGTGGTACTGAAAAAATGACCCCAAAGCTGAATTGTACTGTGCTCGGTTCTTCTGATCTAAAGCCTCCCCATCACACTATTTTAATCCAAACACTTCTACCCATGAGTCACCTGAACCATTTTATGTTGCCACATCGTGTATAAACATTTTATCAAAGGTCACACTGAGTCTTGCTTTCCAAGGTTCTCCGTTGAAAATGTCAGGGCCTCCCCAGGCTTGATTAAGGGATTCTCGTGGACAGAACATCAGGACATCAGCTAAACCACTTTTCCTGAATATAGTGGAAAAACACATCAAGCACCAGAAACTCACCCTGGCTAGCTGTCACTATCTAATCACCATACTGATATGCCAAAAGTAAAAAATAAAAACTGTCATTTTTTTTTATGACATGTTACATTCAAGGGCATGCCCTGAATGGCAGCACACCCCCTGTATTTGCCTGCCACCTTACCTCAGAGATAAATCAATATATTTGGTATTCTTTATAATAAACCTTGAAGTGTCCATTAGCCTAAAAAACTATACGAAAGAAATGCATTTCCCACGGTGATACAAAAAAAAAAAAAAACATTAAAATAAGGGTACAACTACTAATTTTCCATGATGATCATAATCACATACACTCAGTTTCTTTGAGCTTCAGGGCAAAGCATTATGTTCTTTGGATAAATGAGACGCTTCCTACTTTTTCTGGTTCTTCTTGACTTCTAGCTCAGAGTTGCCACCTATATTCGTTACTTTCCATTTTGTTAAAAAATTTTTAAGAACTTTAAAAAACATTTTACTTTTTAAATTATGTGTCTGTATGTGGGTATGTGCACATGAGTGTTAGTGCCAGAAGAGACCCGAGACACTGGATTTCCCTGGAGCTGAAGTTATAGGCAGTTGTACGCCATCAGATGTGGGTGCTGGGCACCCAACTCAGTTGTCTGCAAGAGCAGTATGTGCTCTTACCTGCTGAGTCAGCCCTCTGGCCCATTTTATTTAATTTTGAGGAAGCATTGTATAAGAATAGTGGAAGTGAAAACCCTCTTGATAAAATAATGAGCTTTTGTAAAAGCTGTATCCAACATAACTTGATATTATTACCTAAGTCTCTACTGTAATAATCATAGTAAACATGGCAGGTTTAACAGCAGCACATAGATCGTAAATAAGCCCAACTTTAAACCTAGCATTCTATGATGTTTGTGTCATGAACGGTAAATAAGCTTACTGCCTGTACTCTCCAGAGGGCCAATCCTTGTCCCCACTTTCACCCCTTATGCTGTACTATCTATCCAAAACAACTGAAACACACACGTTAGTAAACGAGGGCAATGTGTCAAGCACAATATAATCTGTTAAAATATTTTATATTTATTTGTGTCTATACATTTCTAGAGCTCTTACACCGTATCAAAATTCTAGGACACATAATTAATCTTAGGCAGATCCCCTTATAATGGAGTTATGGAAAAAAAATCTCTATATAATTCTTTAGAAGTTCATGTTTTTTAGAAGATCCTCTGTTCTTCAGGATAACACAAGCAGCCCCCCACCCCCACCCGGTGAATGCTTGTTTATTTAGCTGTGTGCTTTCGGGTGGAAGACCCCACACTAGGAAAGCTTAAGATTCATAAAAGCCATAATTGACAAGGTCTCTCCTGCCATCATGGATTAAACAAAACCACTCCGTCCTCCAAGCAAAACATTCTAAGCCATTTAGTTCTTAAAAACCAGAAAAAAACTCAAAGTAGCATTTTAAGCTCAACCCCGTTCATATATCAAATATGTGTGTTTAGAGGGGAAACAGATCAATTCCTCTCTGTTTCAGGACTCTTGGCTAGCAGCAGCAAGGCTCAGCAGGAAGAACGCTAGAGGAAGCGGAGAGGGCAACACCTGTTTTCAAGTTGGGCCTCTTACCTCCTGATCTAGCAGGCTACTCATTTCCTCTGACTGTTCCTGTCTGTAAACTAAGTCAAGAATCCTTTGTTATCTTCCACTCTTCAAGCAAAAATGACTTTTTTCTGTGAGGTCGAGGCCAGCCTAGTCTACAGAGCAAGATCGAGGACAGGCACCAAAACTACTCAGAGAAACCCTGTCTCGAAAAATACCAAAAAAAAAAAAAAAAGAAAAAAAGAAAATAAGACTCAGGCTTAAAGCACCACGGAAGACATTTGGAAGAATCTCAAAATCCCACCGTCGTGAAGACTGCACTAAAGACGACTCTATATACTGTCCTAATATTAAAATTCAGCCCCACGTGCCTTAGTATATTATTACTCACTCCAAATACTCTGGTTTTACCCTCATTCTCTAAACTCATCCCTTCAAAAAACACACTTGTCAAAGTTTAACAAACAAGGAAGCAAAAATGAAGTCATTTTTCCCTCTTCTCTTGGAGTTAGATTTCTCTTTATTCTGTTTGGACAGCCATTAGGATTGAATTCTTCAGCCCAGCATGGTGGCATACTTTTGTTCCCAGAACTAGGGAGGTAGAAATAGGTGGATTTCTGTGAGTTTGAGGCCGTCCTGGTCTACAAAGTGAGTTCCAAGACAGCTAGGGCTACACAGAGAAACCCTGTCTACACAGAAAAAAAATCCAAACACAAACCAAACCAAGAGACTGAATTCTTCTATCCTTACTGTGCATTGAGTAATTACTAATTTGAAAATAATGTAAATTGACATTAAAGTGCCCGACAAATGCATACAATATTTTATGTTCAAAGGCAGCCTAAACATGTAGGTTTCCTAGTCCTACCAATGACCAAGGATGGTTCAAAAATATTCTTATAAATTCCAAGCTGGAAAATATCAATCTAATTTTTGAATTCTCTAGTTACTTAAGGCCCCAAACTTTAATACGTGTTTGTGTGTTAACTCTGGGCTAGAGAAAACAACTGAGACTTTTTTTTTGGAGTGGCTTCTATCAACAGCAGTCAGCTTGAACAGAGAGCAAAGCAAATATTTTCCTGTTGTAAGAGCTCATGAGGGCAGGGGCCTTAACCTTCAAGTGACATTTAAAATACAATGATTGCAGGTAATGATCAACTAAATTAGTTAGCTATATACACTTTATGAAGTAAGTAAGCTGCTGTAAAGTGTGTTAGAGAAAAGGGGTGGTGTTTTTCACATGTTGATATGGGCTAGTGATACCGTGAACTTATTTTCTTCTATTATAATTATAGGCAATACCGACATGCAAGGTCTCCCCTAATGACTTACTCATTAAGAAAAGGTGTGTCAATGAAGAACACACATTGCCACACAGGTTCAGGATAGTGTGTATCTCTCCTTTAAAAACATGTGACTGGTGGAAGGGGATCGACCCAAAGAAGTTGGGGAAAATCTTAAGACTCTACCAAATGCGTCTGCGTGTGTATACGCTGTGTTGGTGTTTTGTTTTTTTTAACTTTCTGAGAGAGCAGGTCCTCCTGACATAACACTGCATGTGTCTCCTCTAACCTCAAGCAAGGACATAGCGGCTGGCTTGGGAAAGGCCCCTGCTGCCCTGCTTCCCTCTCCCCTACACTGTTTGCAAGGCTTTGGGTCATTTAAAAAAAAAAAAAATAGCCAGGAGCCTGTGTTACCTGTATTTCCCTGGCGTGGTACACGATGATCAGACCGAGCAGGATGATCGTGGAGAGACTGATAAGGCATTTCAGAGCTAAGGAATACAGCGACGCCTGCAATACAGTTAGATGGAACACTTTAAGAGAGAAGCACTTTCAAGCACCTTCCAGGCCATGAGAGTCAGTTCCGAGCACGTGGACCTGAACTCATGGTAGGGGACGCAGGTGCGGGGTGGGGGGTGGGGGGGCAATCTGTCTTGGTTCTGGGATGCAAATTATTTGGCCTCAAAGCCAAGGGAGAGGAGCCAGGTGCAAGGGAAAACTCCGAGCTTGGCGGCGGGGTCTGCACCATCAAGGACTAAAACAAGGCACCTGGCTCGCTAAAGGCTAGAAAAGTTCCTCCGGAGTTTAAACACTTCAGGTTTGCAGGTGCCTCCGAAACTTGTGCATCAGGAGAGGAACACGCACGCTTTCTCTACCCACTCCAGGAGCCACGTATTAACACGCCTGGATGCGGTGGACACTCATAACCCTGAGAACTTTCCTCTCCTGCTTGCTCAGCTGACTATGGGGTGTGCGTCCTAGCTGCTTCTGCTGCTCCGGGAGGCACTCTGTTGATCTCGGGGACACTTGCGACCCTGCAGGCAAAGGGTTTCCCGCCGGCGCCTATCCCAACCACCTGGCTCCCTGAAGCCCATACCTTGTCGTAGGCGCCCCACGACAGCTCGGTCTCGATGACCATGACCACGATGCCGAACATGCCGAAGATGAGCGCGTAGTCGCTGAGCCGCTTGCGCTTCTCAAACAGGGCGCGCCGGTGGCCCAGCTTGTAGCCGATGTTCTGGTTCTTCTTTTTGCTGGACTTGGTGCCGCTGCTGCTGCCATGCCCGCTGCCTCCGCCGCCGCCGCCGCCGCCTCCGGTGCTGCCTCCGCCGCCGGTTCCGTAGAGCGCCAGGTTGTTGGAATTGTTGTGCTCCGGCTTAGACACCACGATCTCCGGGGCTGAGGAAGAGGCGGCGGCGGCAGCAGACGGGGAGGACGCGCCACCACCTCCTCCTACGACGGACGCGGGGGGCTGCAGGGGCTGAGCCTCGGAGTCCATCTCGTGCAGGTTCCGGCGGGACGAGCTCAAGTTGCTGAGCGGACGCATGACGCCCCCGTTGTACCTGCAGCTGCTCATGGCTATTTCGGTGAAGGGGTTGCTCTCGCGGCGCGCCTGGGGTTGGTGATGCTGGTGGTGCGCCGGGTGCGGGTGGTGGTGGTGGTGCGAGAGCGGGGGCCCGGAGCCCAGGCTGCCCAGGCTGCCTGTGGGGCTGGCGGCGGGCTGCAGGCTGTGGCACTGGTGGTACTGGGAGGCGGACGCGGGCTGCTGCGCGTACTGCTGCCGGAGCGCACTGGCATGGCTGGACGGCGTCAGCTCGCTCACATTGAGCTGGCTGCCCCGGCGCGACGAGCAGCAGCAGCAGCACGAAGAGCCCGACAGCGGCGAGGAGGTGCGGGTCCGGAAGGCGCCGCCGGGCGAGGAGGTGCGGAGCAGCAGGGACAGGTTATCCCCCGCCCCCGCCCCCGCCGCTGGGGCACCGGAGGAGGCGCAGCTGTTGCACCGGAGGCATGGGCTGCTGCCACCGCTGCCCGGCTGCTGGTGTGCGAGGTGCGGGTGGTGGTGAGGGTGCGGGAGGGGCGCGAAGGGCGCGCACGGCTTGTCCTGGCTCTGTTGCTGCTGCTGGCAATGCAGGTGTGAGGAGCGCGGCGGTGGCGGCGGCTGCTCTGGGAAGAAGCCGCGCTGGAACTGCAATGGGGTTTCCATGTCAGGGCTGTTAAAGCTGCAGGGAGACCAGGCGGTGGTGCACCCTGCGCAATGCGTTATGGTCGGGAGCGGGGACTCCTGCTGCTGGTGCGAGGAAGGGCCCATGCCGGCTCCGGTAGAATCCAGGCGGCGAGTCCGATTGGTTGGGCGCACCAAAACAATGGGCATGACATCACCTGCGGGGACCGAGACTGAGTTTGCGGCGCGCGCGGCTTAGGGGAGCATGTGTGTGAGAGAGGTTGGGAGGGGAACCTGCAGAATGAATATCCCGGGGGGCGCAGGCCCGCTCTGGCCGGGGTGAGGACACTCGAGGGCAGGGGTTGCACCTGCGGATCGCGCGCGTCCGGGACCATGGTTGGGAAGACTGAGCTCCCCCACGCATAGCGGCGGGCTGCAGAGGTGGGAGCGAGAGCGGTGCCTCTCGCTCTACTGTCACGGCCCCCTGACTGGTGCGGGACACGCCAGCCCGAATGACCTGCCTGGGGCACTGCAGCTCTGGTCATGGGGCAGGCGCCAGGACGGTGCGAAACCCGAGCCACTCTCCCGCCCTCTCGCCTTGTAGGGCCGCAAGACAGCACCTGCTCGCCCCACTCCCTCTCCCCCGATCATCCTGCCGAGAGTGGGCTGCAGGCTGCCGGCCAAGGAACTGCGGGGGCAAGGCTTTGGGTAGCGGGGAAAGAAGTTTGGCGACTGCCTATGCGAATGTATCAGCGTTGGAAGCAAGCCAGCGCCGGATACCCGGCTTGGCCTCTGAGGGATCATATCCGACCCCTTGCAGGGACCTGTCCCTGCCGCCTAGCTCCCCAAGTCCCAGAATTGGGACTGGCAGCGCGGCCGCTCTTAGAGGAGAGCGTTGCGGCGCGGGCAGGGTTAACCTCGCGACGCCCGGGCAGGGGGAGGAGGGGGCGGGGCCGGAGGAGGGGATCCCCGGCGTCCGGGGAGGAGCCCGCTCGGGTTTCCCGGGTCCCCCTGGCGGGGGCGGAGGGCTTTCCCCACTAGCGCCCGCTCACATTTGCGCGTTCTCCGGAACATGAGGGGCTGGCGCCCCTGGCCTCCGGGTCCGGGGCTCGGGCGCTCAGGCGGTCCAGCAGCCTGAGTGGGTAGGTCTGAGGGCTACCTTGGTGGTGCAGACGAGTCTTGTTCCAGGGTCTGGGGGCAGCTCAGCCACCGCAGACCGCCAGCTTCTCCGGTTTTCCTCTTCCTCCAGACCTGCAGTACAGACACAAAGCAAAGGCGGGTCACTAATGCGCAGACGCCAAGCATCTTCCTTGTCATGGCCAGACTGCAGCGGCTGGGCGAGGGGCCTGGTGAAGGTTGACTGATGCCCATAGCCATCTGACTGCCAGTTAATACCGTGGTGGTGATTCGACTGAATAATCGCTGCCCTCGGACAGAGCGTTTCACTCGACTTAGATACAATGATTAATTATACTCTAATAAACCAGTAGAACTGCACTTTGAATTTTGCCATGGTGTGTCCTTATTGAGCTATACACAAACAAAACGGTAGGAGGTCTTTTTGAGGGCTCTTGATTAATATTCCATCATTAAGTCTAACATTTGTATTTGTGAATTGAAATTCCTAGCTTCCTAAAGGAAAAAAAAAAGAGAGATGAAATTGGCCAGTTAAATGTTTCAATTTAAAATTGTGATTTCACTAGTTTTTGTGATGGAGATTGCTAACAGATTAGACCAACACATTAAAGCGAAAGCGGATCGCTCTCATTAGGTAATTGGAATTCTCAGCTGGATCCAATTTCTTGACATTCTACTCAGCAGCTGCCCTAAAGTTGCTTACCTGGTATCTGCTTGAAAGTGTGCGTGTTTGTGCTCAGTGCCATTGAGTGAATAATTTATTTCTGGATATTCTTTGCAAGTGTGTTAAGCAATTGAAAATATTCGTGCACACAAGCAAATAGATTAAGAAGGAAAAGGAAAAAAAAAAGGGAGAGAATTGCCGTTAGAGCCATAGTCCTTGACAGGAGATAATGAATACTCGGGGCTTGAATTTCTAAATGATCTTGGTTAAAAATTGGATGTTAGTGGCTAAAAATCAAAGGCATTATTCTTATTATCTATTGTGATTTTTTTATTTATATCTCAAATGTGGGAAACAAATAGTGTTTAAAATGAAGAAATTTGTTGATCTTTTGAAGGCATCTGATAGTGCACAAATGCACATATGAGGCACATTACTACAGAAAATCATTCCAGTGAAAGAAGGGCGTGGTTGTGCATATCTGAGACCCTACACTTGGGAGACAGAGGCAAGAGGGAAAAGAGTTCAAAGCCACACTCACATACACAGTGGGTCTGAAGCCAGCCTGGACTATAGGAGGTCACTGTCTTGAAGTCTGAAGCCAGCCTGGGCTATAGGAGGTTACTGTCTTGAAAAACAAAGGGCCGGGTACAGTGACGCATACAGAAATACATGGACTTTAAAATGAAAGCTTCCAAATTATTCACCCTTAAGTCTGGAAAAAAAATTTAACTCCAGCATAAAATCCACCCAATATCTATTAGTGTACTTCACAGCAAATTGTACAGGCTTCTTTTCATTGCTCCTCGTTAGATGACTGAGTGAAATGTTTGACTCATCTTTATCTCTAAATACTTCAAAGAAGTATATCAAAAATTAATATGCTCATCACCAGCAGCTCATAAATTTAGAAAAGATTTTAGAGATGTCTCCCCAAATATCACAATAGCTGCTACTCATTTTAAATTATACATAAGGTTCTAGACTTATGAAAATGTCATACGGAAAACAAAAGCTGCATCCCCTTGTGTTGAGCTTCAGCTGACTTTCTCAAATACCACAGTCAACGCTTCCCACGGGCTTCAGAAACAAAAGGGTGAACAATATTGAACCTTGTGCTCCTCTCCACACACTTCTTTCTCTCTGTGTGTATGTGTGTATACTTTGGGTTACTGAGACACGGGTCCTCACTTTTCTCAAAGAAGATGTACAAATTAAAGGAAATGGGATCTCAGGAACACCGAAGCTCAGACTGACCTAACTTCAGCATGGCCAACATAAGAGTTTATAAAATAATAACACGAAAGTCACTATGACTAGAGAGATGGAGATCAGGCCAATGAGACCCTCACTGTCCTTCCATTGGAGTAAGGTGAGCACAGCTAACACATGCTGTGCCTGAGGCAGACTGGAAGCCCTTTCGTGGTGAAAACCACGGGCTTAGAAAGGCAGCCATTGTTTCATCTTTAGTCTGAAAGATGCTCAGGCACCTTTGACAAATGCCATATGTCATGACAGGTGCCAGATTAAGACATCCTTGTTATCAGTGTTGCTCTGGTAGATGCTTCTCATAAGTTTACATGCAAACGTTTAAATTATAGTGACTCTGACTTTGTGGGAATGTGTTCCTATGGAGCAGTGGTTCTTAGCCTGTGGGTCTTGACCTCCAAAGACCATTGGAAAACAGATATTTACATTAGGATTACATTATTAGCAGTAGCAAAATAACAGTCATGAAGCAGCAACAAAAATAATTGTATGGTTGGTGGTCTTTCCAACATGTATTAAAGGGCTGCAGTAGGTTGAGAACCACTGTTATATAGGGTTATAGAAATAAACACAGCGAAGTGAAGCAATTAAAGCCAACAGACAGTGCTTTTCATGTGGATGGTGTTTTGCACTTACACCTTCGAGTAAGTGGGAAAGGAGAGAGGGAGGAAAAGGAAATGATACTTCAAGCAATGATCTGTGGTTTCCATTGAGAAGCTTTCACACTGAGATATCTCCCCCTTTCTTCCATTAAGGCAAGCAAGTGCTGGAATTCCCCTAGCTTAACACCAGAGGTCACAGTCACCCACAAAATGCACTTGCAATCTCATCAGTTAAACAGCATCTCCATTTTAGCATCCTTCCTTTTCCTTTTTTGGCTATAGTTCTTTTTTCTTATGCCTTCTAAGAGTGGTTTTTTCATATTTGTTATATGTCAAGCTTGTGGACAGGCACACATCTAACATAACCAGCCCCTAAACACACAGCCATAGAATGGGTTTCCTGAGCCACAGATGTCTAGTTTTAAAAGTTTCAAGTAGGTTTTATGCCACTGTCTTATTTTATTCAAATCCCTGTTATGTTCCTTTTTTATTATTTTCTTCTACACAGGAATTGTCTGTACTTTCTGCTTCGTTGTCCCTTAAAAGGCAGGACTCTCTTGACCTAGGTGTCTGGGGTTTGTTTCCAAAATGCAGTCAGAACAAAAGAATCTGTTTCCTACACTGCATGGTCAAGCAACTAAGCCATTTTGAGAATGGGTTTTTGTTTTGTTTGCCTGGCTGAGTCAATCCTTTGATAGTCCTGAACCTAAAGGCTGTGATGAGATCCAACCTCTCTGAGCTTATTTTCCTTGGCAATAGATTGAGGGGAATCAAGACAGCATCAGTTGTTTTCTTAGTATAGTTGCAAGTTTCCTGAAAGACGACAATTCAAAGGTCCACCAAACAACATTATTTTAAATCATATATTCCCTAGTGTCACAATTAATACATTATATTTGAGGCAAACATTAAAAAATATGTATTTTGATGCAGGTATACATACCTGCATCATGATGATAAAGTATTAAACCTGTATTAACCTATTTTTCCAAAGGCTAATAAATCATGTTGATCGCCAGTCCTTAATTTAATTAACTTTTCTATTGATTTTTTTTATTCTCTTCATTGTCTTCTACTGTTTCTCAACTTATTAACCTATCTACAGAAGTCCCAGAAATGCTAGAAAGACACAAAAGGTAAAATCATATTAATCTTGCTAGCAGAATTTAACTCAGGTTACATATTAAATGGATGAAAAGGCTGAACTTATTGAATAATAGTGGTTTTTAAGTCTGCGGATTTCATAAACACATATCCCTTTGCTATTAGAAATGGAGAAAGGTGGGAGGGAGGGTGGGAGAGAGGGTGGGTCACTGTTTGAAGCCCAGTGGATTGTACACAACTGTTTCTTAATGTATTGTTTTATTTGTATCTTGCAAAAAGCCCAGGCAGACGGCAGAGAAGGTTTTCTTGTTATCTCCATTTTGCAGGTAAGGAGGACACCAGAGATAGTGCCTGCCCTGCCCTACCTAAGGTGACACTGGTGAGCGGCAAGGACAAGCCAGATCTCTCGACAGTCTTTTGGGTCTGTGTGGTGTGTCGTTTGCACATCCTAGAGGCCTTGCTCCACAGCAGAATCACACACGGGTTGCATCCGCTTACCCAAGAGTAGAGAGCAGTGCCTCTGAGTGTTTTCTCCCTGACTCTTCCGTTTCCTGTGATCTTTCTCCTCTCGTTGGCTTCATTGGATCAACAGGATAATTTGAGAGAATTTAATATAAGTGTGGAGGAAATGGAAGTACTTTGTGCCTGCTGGTCCAAGATGCCCAATTAAAAATACATAGAGAGATACAGGAATAGAAGTGTGTTTTCCTTTTTTAAACAAACAACAACATGATTCTGAGATGTTCAGCTATACTCCATACTCTTTCACTGACTTTGCTACCAGCCAGGGCATTCCTTATTTGGGGCTACATCCAGCAAAAAGTAAACGATCAGTGAGACTATTTGCTGGACCTACTGAGGGCTATTTTGCCTGGTCTTCTACAGCTGTGGAGGAGAGAGCTCTTGGTCTTGCAACTCAGAGGACTTTTTCGATTGTCATTCTTGGACTCACCCTGTGCCATTCTTTCTTCTCTTCATGGCAGATTGGTGAAATTAAGAGAAAAGAGCCAGACTTTACATGACAAGGAGAGGCTCGTGTATCTCCCAGATGGGGTAGAGAGCCAGCAAAAGTGGAATCAAAGATCATAATTTTAAAATGGCCCTAAATACCAAAGACACATTAAGTCTCCATCATTTTTTCTTCTTGATCACAGCCTTGTAAATGAAGTAACCCTGTGCTATTCACTAATCCTGGATGTGTCTGCTTTCTCTTCTCATTTCCCTGTCATGCATCAAGCTTATACAAATCCCCAGCTCCTCTTTCTTTATATTTATCACCCTTTCTGGAATTCACAAACCTCCATCCTTTAGTAATTGTTACCACAAGGGAGGGTTGATGCCTTTCCAATGCTATGGTTAAAAAGGGAATGAACCATGGTCTGCGACACTGAATTCAATGTAACGATGTCACCAAGAGGAGAGTTCTGATGCAAACTAACACTTGTTCATGTCCAGACTCAATCGTCATCTGCAGAGCCAGATTTTTCTTTTAAAATGTTTTTTATTTAATGCTGATGCTGTTTTATGGATGTAAATGTGTGAATAAAAGAAAGAAATAAAAAGGGAAGGATTTGGTAGTTTGAATGTGATTGGTCCCCATAATCTCATAGAGAATGGCATTGTTTGGAGGTTTGGCTTTGATGGAGTGGGTGTGGCCTTGCTGGAGAAAGTATGTCACTGTGGGGGTAGGCTTTGATATAGCCCAGTGAGTCAGTTTATTT